GACTTGTCTTCTGAGGGGCCTCTGGGTTTGTTTGAACTGACAAACTTTCGGTTAGTAGTCAAGCACTTAACTGTTTGTGAGGAAGTAAAGAAAGAAATTATCTTTGGGAATCACAAACCACTCCATCTACATGGTAAAGAATCAAATTTATATAAACATACATTTTGCAAAGTGTTGAAAAATCAACAAGGAGAAGCACCTACTTGTCATTGTAACTCATCTTTTCTGTCCTACTAACACCCACAATCCTCCCAAAGTAAAAATTAGTTTCTAAATGAAATATAAATCACATTGAATTTGACAGTGCAAGATATGTGAGAAAAAAGAATGCCATCTGGAAAATGAGTATTAATAACTGAAGAACTTCAGGTTCAAATATAAATGAAAAATATTCAAAAGATCTTGACAATAACCCTTTTTCTCAAAATTAACTATAGTTTGTATATTAGAAAAGTAGATTTAGAGGCCTCCAATATATTACATGAATTTGCTTAAAGAAATTTAGTAATATTAAAAATTGACAGAGAACATTCTTTTCTTAAGGAAGGAATGTGTGAAATTGTGATGTGTTAATTGAACTCTGCTATGGTAGGCAAGTAAGAAGTGGATTTGCATGGAGTCCAACCAAGAATACACTGTCTCTACAAGTGGGATTTTTTAAAAAATGGGTGGGAGAAAAACTGCACTGGGGGCATTAGCTTTGTTTGTTACATTAAATGAAAAATGACTTTCTAGTGCAATGTGTCCTCCTTCTTTGTACTTAGAAATTACGAAGGATAGAATATGTTTTGCTCACTTCCCTCAGTGTTATGCCATTCAGTTTATCAATAAAAAAAAACTATCTCACTGCTGTGTGTATGCTGTTTATGTGACTTAAGGGGGAAAATGTCTGCCTACACCCTCTTAAATTGAGTCAAAACACAAATACCGATATATGTCTAACAGAAGTGCATTATAAGTACTGTAGAGGCATACTTCAGAGATATTGTAGGTTTGGTTCCAGACCACTAAAACATAGCAAATATCGCAATAAAGTGAATTACATACATTTTTTTTTGTTTCTCAGTGCATATAAAACTTATGTTTACATTATAATGTGGTCCCTTAAGTGTGCAATAATATTATGAAAAAGTTCAGATCTACCAATATTTGACACAGTGACATGAAGTGAGCACATGCTGTTGAATAAATGGTGCAGGTAGACTTGCTTGAGCTGCAGTATCTGCAAAGTGCAATAAAGCAAAATGTGATAAAATGAGGTATGTCCATGCCACCAATATGGCTTTGAGGATATAATTTAACCCTTGTCATCATTCTCTTTCATCAGAATCTTGTGTACAAGAGAGTGTTATCCCAATCTCTCATTGGTTGCATGGCTCATAAGATGTACATAAGATGTAAAGGAACAAGATCAATGTTTGACCACGTTTTAAGGCATGTTGCATGAACTGGAGAAGCAGAGACAGCGAATCTTCAGGGAGAGGACATTGCAATAAAATCAGAGAGGAGCCATGAAGAACTATGATAGGGAGTCCTGAGAAGATCTGAAGTTCTGGATCTACTGCTGTATTCTACAGATGCATCAGTGAAGACATAAGTGAAATTCTTCCTCTGTTACCTTAGGCACCTTTTAGAACAAGTGACACTCAACTTAATTGGAGTGGCAGGGGAGCAGAAAGAAGACACCTAGTTTAGGTGTATATACCTCATTAGGTAAGGCACCACATCTAACTATCCTGAGCACTGCTTTATGCTTGGCCTTTTAAAGTAGGTGCTTAGTAAGTATTTCTTGAATGAATTAAAAAGCGATTATTTCACATGTAGGGTTAGAGGTGGTAGAAATGGTTGGAGTAATGCATGGATTGCCTCCATCAGAGGCAATCATCAAGTACAGACTATTGAAAACAGAGAGACAATGTAATAGTGGTGAAAAATATGTACACTGACCCTAGACTCCAGCTCCACCATTGCCAGGGATGTGATCTTAGATAGGCACGTAATCCCTCAGTGTCTCAATCTTGTCATGCATGAAAATAAAGAATTTCTCTTCTGAAAATAATTTTAGTACCTACATCAAGTAATTTTTGTGAGGGTTACATGAGCTGAAAATTAATATGTAAAGTGCTTACAACAGTGTTAACTATTACTTTAATAGCTTACATCTCTACTACTAAAAATCTAGATATCATTTATCAGCAAGACATGCTTTCTATCATTCTTTAATACCCTCTCATGCATATTTAACCTATCTTCCAGAGCAATTTCCACAATGTTGGACAACAAAAAAGATAGGAAAGGATCTCTGAGATTCAGAGGAAACAGAGGTCCAGATCCATCAGAGGACTTGGCCAAAACCACATCTCCCGTGATAGAGCAAATCCTAGAAACCACTTCTATTTTCATGTTGTAGTCAGACATTAGACTCAAAGCAATCTCACTGCCATTGAGTTGATTCCGACTCATAGCAACCCCCATTGGGTTTCCAAGGCTGTAAATCTTTATGGAAGCAGACTGCCTTATCTTTGTTCCACAGAGTGGCTAGTGAGTTCAAACCACCAACTTTTTGGTTAGTAGCCAAATGCCTTAACCACTATACCACCAGAGCTCCTTATTCAAACATTAATTAAGATAAATTAAAAAAGACAGAAAACAAAATGCAAGCAAAATGTATAACCATCACTGAATGCTTTCAGGATGGGACTGTAATATTTTATTTTGAAACTCTTATTTGGCAACAGGTAATCAGTTACAGCCTTCAGTGTGTTGTAGAAGTTTTTGTAAAATGATTTATTACAGATATTAATTATACTAGGCTCTCACTTATTTTTTTTCTAGTTATGTAATTTTCATGAAATTGATGAAAAATGTTTGACATTAACATGGAAGGGCTAAATCACTCACTGTGACATCTGGACGCCTAAGGATATAGTTTCTATTAAGAAAAAAACAAACAAACAAACTCTAAAACAAACTCTTGCTATTCTATGGAAAACAGTCGTAAAACAATTTTGAGCATTGTTCATACTATATCTCATTATAATGCAGACTGTTACTTTCTTGGCCTGGCATCATGCCCTAATCTGTACAGGTGTTCAGAGTTCATGAATGTTAGTGTGGATCCTTATCGCCAATAGCCACACCATGGGGAAAGTAAATTTCCACTGTATTTTCTAAATTGTTAAGCAGAATTCCAAGGCATTCATTTAGTTAAGAATAGTGTTTTTATTCTCAGTTCTATTTCTCTGTTTTCAAAGTGCATACAAATCACAATGCATTTAAACACAATTATTTTTTACAATTTTTTTTACCTCAACAAAAGCATATTTGAGTGTAAAAGTTGGCCCTAATTACCAAAGAGCAGCTGAGATGTGACCAAGTTTCAAGCAAGTGGTATACTCTGACTCCCTGCATTTAAAGAAAAATTTGTCATGCGATCATGGTTTTTAAGTTCTGAAATAACAAGACAACCATTGAATTTTTAGTTTCAAGCTCAAAGTAAGTTTTGTAGCAGAATATACAGCCCAGAAAAAGAAGCTCAAAAACCTGGTTATCTCTTCTATTTTTTCAACAAACATTTCAATTACACCAAAATTTACTCTAATATTTGCTACAATCTTCAGAAACTGTATATTTTCAAGAAAATGTAATAAAAAAGAGAAGGCTGCATTATACTCAACCAAACTAACCTACAACTAATCTCTCCAGGAAAAAAAAAAAAAAAGAAGTTTTGTTTCATCTAAACATTCATTCTAAAAACTGTGAAGAAAATTAACTCATGAGACCAGTTTAAAATAAAAATTTACTTCTGTAAGGAAGTAGTCCTCTGTTTTTTATCATCAAGAGCACAAAGAAAAACAATACAGTACCACAGAGGCAGTAGATACTGTGTAAACTGGAGAAAAAACCAACCAACCAACCTAGCTTCTGTTAAGGAAAGCCTCTTGATATATTCAGTACTACTTTTAAAGGGCCCTTTTCAAAACCAACTTTTGCAATCTCCTTCTCCAGTAACAATATTGATAAGGAGCTTTCTTGGGGGGGGGGGAATTGCCCTTTGGCTAGAATATCAGATGATATTAGAGAGTTTCTCCTCAACAGTATTTTGCTCTCTTGTGGTGAATAGCACTGTTGAATAGTTACTCCTATGGTATTTTCTAAAGGCAAAGAAAGAGTGGGTTTAAGATCAGTTTCATTGTCTCAGTATTTAAGGATCTGTATTTTAATCTAACAGGAATGTAGCTACTTACATTGTTTAGGAGTGATTTCCTCAAAACTCGTTCAGATTACATATGTTGCTATATTTACAATCTATTTATAAAATATACAGGTAACAGTCCAATTTAAAATAAATTTGAGGTTCAAATACTTCACAGATATTAGGACTAGCTGGAAGATGATCTGGATAAACTCCTGTGAGAATGTGACTTGGTTTTTCCAAACAAAGAGTGGATATATTAAATGGAAGATGTAGCTATTTCCTTTTAATTTAAAGTTCCTATAATCAACAGTTAGGTTATTTCCAGTTACATTTAATTTTATTAATTGCATAATTTTTAGAAATGTTGAGAAAATGGATTGTGGCAAAATATAAAGAGTTTATTAAGGATCAATAATATATAGATAGACATAGTTTAAATTTCTAATTTGCTTAAAAAATTCTAGACCATCAAAACAAGAGAGATATGGTCTGTTTAACCAATCTACTGAAGAACAGTCAAGTTGTTGGTGCATATCTTAAACAACTATAAGGGGTTATCTCTCTATTGCTTTCACTTTAGGAAAGGGAAGCTTTAAAATTAGCACAGAATGCTAAGAGATTCCTCTGTTTCACTTAATTAAAAATGTTCTATTTCTTCTATAGGAATCAAATTAAGCTCTTAATTCACCCCAAAATTTTTTTATTAACCTTAACTGAAAACAAAGCTGTTATCTTTTATTAAAAGCATCTACATTTATGAGTGAGCCATTGTGGTATAGTGCAAATAAATAGATACACTTACCTGGAATTAAAGTTCAAAGAGCTGAAAAACCTTCAGAAAGTTTTAATAGTAAAGAAACTGAAACAGCAGTATCCACTACCATCGACTCAGGCTTTTTGGCTTTACAAGTGGCAGCAGTACCAGTCCCGGCCCAGTATTCTTGTGTTATGTAACACCTTATTAATATTAGCCATCAAACTGCTACCAAGCCGGTGAGGCACTAGAGGGCAAGAGTGTCACATACAAGACCCGTCGCCAAGGGACTGGCTTTGGTACCACTCAGGAAAGACAGATGCTAAGTAAGCTGATAAATAATACGATGCTCGAACGCAACAGTGAACTTGTAATGTGCCTTAAAGAATATTTGAAATGTCAATTTTCTGACTAGCCTAAGAGTTAACAGGTTAATAAACATGGCCAAGAAAATAACTGCAGCATGCAAAACTTTCAGGGTTGTATTTACAAACCCACAGTAACCCAGAAGGCTATTTCGTCATTGTCTACATAAACTTATTTAAAACAGGAGAAAAGGGTGGTTAAACAAAATGAATGGCGGTTCAGGCCACCTTCATTTCAAGCCGCTAGAAACTTGTCCTGAGCGGTTTGTGCTACCTCTGGAGTCTGCATTTCAAGTCGCCAGGTCTGGTTTCTGAGCGAGGACGCTCGGCACAGTTCTCCATCCGTGATTACCTCGGGCTGCAGCGGTCCGTGGGCATCCTCTGTCCCCAGTTCTCGGCCTCGGCGGTTCCCCGAGGGCCCCGCGGGAGGAGGCGGTGGGGGACTCCGGTTCGTCCGGGAGCGTGGGCGGCGCCGGGCAGGGAGCTGCTTCTGGGCGAGCGCAGCCGGAGCTCCAGAGACTCGTGCTCTGGCTCCGGCGCGAACGGCCGCCCCAGGACCCACCCGGCCGCGCCGCCGCCGTTCTCACGCCTCCTCCCAGGGTGGGCTCCGCTGCCTGCCAGCTCCCGGCCCGCGAGCACCCGCCCGAGGGAGGATCAGGGGCGGGAGCCCAAGCGCGAGGCGCTTCCATCCGGCTTCCTCTGGGCTGGGCTGGGTCCTCCGACCAGGCTTCCCAAGCCTGGACAAGGAGACCCCTAGGTCTCCCGCCGGGGCCAGCCTATCCCGACCGTCACTCCTGGCGGAGTTAGTGGTGGCCGCCAGGGAAGACGGTCCGAGCTCCCAAGGCGGCTCCAGGACAGTGGGGCGCACCCGCGGCAGACCGTGCGGGCAACGCAGTCACCTCCAACCGTGCTTCTGCCCGCGGCGAGGCTGGAAGTCGCAGGGGTTTTCTCTATTCGCCAGCTTTCTTAAAGGCCATGTGTTACAGCTGTTGAAGACAAGTGGAAGGCCAACAACCGACAGGATATTTTGAATATAAAGTGTGAGGTTATGCTCATCAGTATAGTTTGATTAGGCACTTCAATCCAGTGACCTTTTAAAAATCTCATTTTGGTTCCGCTAACAAAGCATATGTTAAAAGTTTTGTTATTTTGTATGGGGAAGATGGTTACTAATGACAAATTGTAATGGACATTTGTGGTTTTGCCTCCCAGAACTCACCCTTCTTTTTCCTTCTTCACTTTTGATTGTGATTTTGGTGAAAGTTACCGAGCAAATTATTTTTCCATTCAACTGTTTATACAAAATTTGTTTAATCACATTGACTGTAATCCCCACAAAGTAACTGCACTCTTTCCCCTCCTTCTTGTGTTTCTCATTACCATTTGTCCTTTCCTAGTCCTTTCTGCTTTCTGACCTTTGTTGTTGTTGTTGTTGTTATGTGCCGTCGAGTCGGCCCTGACTCATAGCGACCCCTCCTTGGGTTTCTGAGGCAGTATCACTACGGAAGTAGGATTGCCCAACCTTCCTTCCGAGGAGTGGTTGGTGGGTTTGAACCGCCATCCTTCTGATTAGCAGTCAAGTGCTTTAGCCACTATGCTACCAGAGCTCCTTTATGCCTGGGCAAATGCTGCCCTTTTGATCTATGGTTGGTTATTCTGAAGAGTGGTACCTCGCTGGTGTCATTGTTAACCTTGTAGGCCTGTCTATCCTTTGGCTAAAAGTTAAGCCAGGAGGGTGAATTCAGTTCCAGGCCTGAAGTGTGACTAAAGGCCATAGCCTTGGGATTTCCACCAGTCTCTGTTAGACCAGTTAGTCTTTTTTATGATTTTGAGTTTGTTCCACACTTTTCTCCCACGCTATTCAGGACCTTCTGTTGTGATCCCTTTGAGAGCAGTCAGTTGTGATAGCCAGGAACCATATAGTTCTGGTCTTGAGGTTGTAGAAGGCTGGCACTCACCCTTCTTGGAAGAAACCATACCCCTGTTTATTTTAGAGGATCTAACCACTAGCCCCCTCCAAGGCCTGTTTGATTCAGATGATATCAACTGCTGCTCTGATACTTCAGTTACCCTCAACTCAGGTCTAACAAATGGAATTATTCTGCCCATCTGGACGCTGGTATTGGTTTAGAGAAAAGTATGTTGACCAAGTCTGGCCAATCAGAGACTGACAGATAGTTCTGCCCTGTTTTTGTCTTCCTTAAGGAAATGGACTCCTCTTGTATTCCTCTTTATAGTGAAGATGTGAGTTTAGAGCTGCTTGTGCCACTATGTAAAGCCTAAGAATGAAACTAATATTTCAGGAGGAAGACCCAGGAGCTAGAAAATATAAAACCGGATGGGGATATTTGATCTTTGAATCCACCTGTGGCTAAAACAAGTTTTGCCCCTAGTGTTTTTGTATATGAATCAATAAATTCACTTTTGGGCTTAAAGCAGCTTGGGCTGGCTTTTCTGTCTGTTGGAATGGAAATAAGTGGAAATTAATATAATTAATATGATGTATCAATTATTAACAATTAGAATATTAAATTTGCTATAAAGAATATATTTGTATCCCAGTGTCTTGGATGATAGTGCAGGACTGGGCAGCGTTTTGTTCTGTTGTACATAGGGTTGCTATGGGTCAGAGCTGACTGTATGACACCAAACCACAACGTCTTGGAAAAGTTACTTTGGAATTTAAAAAAGCTAGAAGATTGTACATCCTTCTTGCCTTAGATGGTAGAGGCATTAAAGAAATGACTAAACCAATTGCTCCTTCTGGAAGCGTATAAAAATTTCAGGATGGTAGAATTATCTGGCCAGATGATATGTGTTAGATTGCCATTATTTATTTTGTGTTTTAGTTGAGGTCCCCATTAGGGGTCTAGTGCCTTTCAGGAATTTTAAGAAATTACAGTTAATTCTATATATTCCTTACCCCTGGAAGCCTGCTGTGTCACTCAAGCATCTATACATTCATCCATTCAGTCACTGAAAACAAAAACAAAAGATATAGAACACTACTTACTAAATGCTTCTGGAGATCCAATAATAAGAATACAAAAAAGAAAGAAAAGAAGAGCAGGCCCGTTCCCCACCCTCTGGCTTATTGATGTTGTTATGTCCTGTTGAGTCGTCTCCGACCCATAGTGACTTCTCTTTGGGTGGCTGCTTATTATGTATTGATAAGGGGATAGGAGGTCAGCCTCTGCTACAACATTTCAGAGAAAGGACAAGATTTATGAATTCATAAGTTCCTGAAAATTCTAGCCTATGTAGTTAGCTTCAGAAATGCCATTCACTTTTTCTTCTTTCTTATTCCATCTTCTTTGCTCAAAAACAAGCAAGCAAACAAAAAATAACTCAAAAAACTTCTATGAAATAGGGTATTTGGTGATTTTATAGGAGCCCTGGTGGTTCAATGCTTAAACGCTTAGCTGCTAACTGAAAGGCCAGCAGTTTGAACCCATCAGCAGATCTGCTGGAGAAAAGACTTCGCAATTTGCCCTCCTAAAGATTACAGTCCAGGAAACCCTATGGGGGAGTTCTTCTCTGTCCAATAGGGTCAGAATTGACTCCATGGCACACAACAAGAACAATAGCATTTTGATGTTAGCATTTTGGTGTTTTCTTCAGTTACAAAAGTTACTTGTATCTTTGATGAGTTTCTGTTCTTTGTTTAAATGTTGCAACATGGAATGTGCTGATTATAAAATAATTTTTAGAAAGTCTTTACAGTTTGTGGAGTGCTGTTTTATTTTTCAATGTCTAAATTGAAGCAATATATTATTCTATAAAAAAGCTGGTGGTGCAGTGGGTAAGGTTTTTGTCCACTAAACAGAAATTTAGCAGTTAAATCAACCACCTGCTCCATGGGAGGAAGATGAGGCAATCTACTTTGGTAAAGATTTACAGCCTTGGAAATCCAATAGGGGTTGATATGAATTGGAATCAGCTTGGTGGCAATGGGTGTTTATTATTCTATTATGCCAAGTTTAAAACACATCAATATTTTTAACTGAAACATCTACTAAGCATAAATATTCCAATTTCTTTAAAAATCTGTAGCTTGTATTTATAGTAATTTTAGTATTTATATAGATTTTATAGAAGTTTAAAATATAAAAATTTATAACATTTTTAAAGCCATTGAAAGGTAATGAAGATAAAAACTTAACAGAAATTATATTCTAGCTAGGACTTGCTAAGTTATTTCAGGGAAATGA